TCAATCTATGAATTCTAAAAGTCAGGATCTCAGTGGGGAAAAAAAAATCTGGATCAACGACAAATCTCCAAGGTCACTGCCAAACTGACTTTAGAAATTTCCTGGGATGTGTGTGTGTGTGTGTGTGTGTGCGCGTGTGTGTGTGTGTGGTCGCGCATACGCGTGCCTGTGTGTGTTTTACCATTATTTTTTTTAAATCCAGAAATATCACGTCAAGCTCTCCTGGTTTAAGTGTTTTACACGCCCCCACCCTGGATAAGTCCCGAAAGACGTTTCAGCCGGTGTGCATGAACTTATATTGACCCCGTCAACAGTCCCCGACACACGCGGAACTCACTCACGTGGTGCGAACGAGCGATTGAAGCAGTTTTAGTCGAACAAAGCTTGAATTGAAAGCATTAGCAGAACTATGAATAATATTGATCATTTGTGCGGCGCAATTTAGACTAAACAGTTATTAGGCCATCATCGGAGAATTGCGAGTTGAAACAAAAATAAACGCGAAAATGATCTAGAGCCTAGATCTTGAGAATGTCCCAAGTCGGAATGCCAAGCCAATACTACTTCTATTATAATCTACTTAAAATAACACGTGTGTGCAAAGATCTAACACAACTACTAAACTCGGCATCGACATTTAGGAAAATAGTGCTCCTAGTTTCTGCTGACAAAAAATTTAACGAGTGCTTCCCTCTACAGAAAAGAAGGCAGAGTAAGGTTTTTGAAAAATCGGGCACAACAGATGGAACAAAAATAAATAAATCGGGATACACGCGATCAAAATCGGGAAAATCGTGATGCTTGAAATTTGGGGCAAAAAAATCTGGATGTCCCGATTACTTCGGGATGAGTGGCAGGTTTGGAAAATAAACTAATTCATTATTCTGCAAAGCCATCCCAGTCTTTCGATGGTGGACTATTCATGTTTACTAGATATAGTGTGCTAAAGAAGGATGGGGGGTGATCTAATCTCACGGCAAGGGTAAACTCAAGGCATGACACCGGCAAATACAATGCGAGCGACCAGAATGTGGGCGGAGCTTCTCTGCTCAAGAAAGGCCGGTGTCGCCGGAAACTTCGCGCAGCTGATAAGTAATAAGTAGATTCTTGGTGGACTGCTTCTGACACAGTCATAGACAGACAAAAGGTGACGGCGGTGTCATATGTGTGGATGTGTTGTCAAATCATTGACTCGGCTTCGGGGTAGAGAAGGGGGAAAATGATGATTTTCAGACGCACACCACCTACGTCTTAAAGCGTATGCAAGCCCCCGAAACGAAATTTTAAAGAGTAACGCTCACTCACCACCAAAACTTTAAGGGGGTAATCTGCAGGTTTAAGGGGTAATATACGCACACATATGTGCGTAAAGGGGAGCCCTGAAGCTAGAAAACAAACAAAGTGAGAAGCAATAAATCGCTGGTCCTGGCCTCCAGTACAGTACTTTACTCGTACTTTCTACACCCCCATACAAAATATCGACGTGCACTGAACCCGTTAAATATATGTAATAAGAATTGTCCTGTATGATGACAAAAAGTCAATTGCTACTGTACCAGTGACGCTGTCCCAAGCAGATCAAGTCTACAATCAGATGCTATACAAAGCTGGACAAAGCACACAAGTTTCCGATCATTATATCATCAAATGTACTTCATCGCACTTCTCAGTTCTCAGAACTGAACACTGAACACTGTGTTGTAACAAAGTGGGGAAGTGTGTCAAATGCTAATTATAGAACTTGGTGTCTAGCTGGGGTGAGGGTTGAAAAGGGGAGGGAAGGGAGGGGGTTTCCGGCCCAGACTCTGACAGCCGAGTGCCTATGCTCCTCCTTAAAATTTTCCTTATATATCTTCACTAGACGATTCCTTCTTTCGCCGGCCAGACTCCTAAGGGCCAGGTAAGTTATTAGTGGGGAGAAAACGATGAGTAAATGCCAAACAGGAACTATAGGTGGTTAAAAAGTCAATAAACAAAAAAGAGTAGTGCCATGCTGACAATAAATGTTCTGATTAATCTGATAGTAGTTAGAGAAAGGCTGAATGATAAATACATGTTTTGCTGATAAAATAATACAAGTGTCTGTGCTGCTCAAGACAGTCTCATTCTTAATTTTGTAATCTACAAAGAGGCCAATCTGGCAATTAAGGGATACACTAATCTTTCTATGGACTGACAATGGATTTGTCCATGGGACTGACGTCATCGCTAGGCCTTAGCCAAGCCCGCCGTGTATTTGTGTGTACGTAGTACGAAGTTCCGCGACGTGACGGTTAGTTTGACGGGAGACGATTTAAAGTTACAAGCCGGCGCGATAACAAACGTGAATGAATGAGGTCTGTCGCGACAAAACAGCAGTGAATCCCACTTCTCTATTTGAGCGCCTTCAAATCGGCAAGGTGTTTTTGAATGTTGATACATGTTTGTTTGGATTTACTTAAAACTGAATGAAAATCGTCATTAGCAATAAACCTCTAGTCAACAGTTCAGTTGACAAAAATCTGACCGACACCGCCGGTCTTGCCCAGTTAACAAACCGCCCCTGGATGGTATCATATGAGCCAATTGCCAAAACGTGAGACTCTATTGAGACTCAGTGGTTCCAAATTTTTTTTCTTACCAATTTGATTCCCTTTTCTGTCAGTCTCAGATTGACATTTAGAGCTCATATTCCTAGAGTATCAGAGCAAGGAGATGTAGGGTTTTGGAGATATGGGTCTATTGGTTTGGCAACCACTGTATTTCTTGTATATAACCGTGATGACAAAAACAGATAAGCAGCAAGGCAAATTATAGACTTTTACTTTAAATTCCATTTGTTTAGTAAACAAACACTTTGTACACTATGAACTCCATTCATAATGGTAATATGAATGACAAGCATTGTAACAATGACGCAGTGCAGAACATGTCATCATTGTTATGTACAAGAAAGGATACACATTGGACATTATCATTGACAACACATCACAATAGTGAAAGGCTGTACAAATACAGTTTTCAAAGCCTCAGCACCAGAAAAACACACATGTGTAAAACAATTTTTTAACTAATTAGAGGCAAAAGCACAAAATCAATGGGACTGACTTGTGCATAACAGTGATGACAAATATGACTTGTACATAACAATGATGACACATTGTACAGGAAAAGACAAAGTCATGCCTCCAGAGAGAAATGCACACTTTAAGAATTAAAAAACAAACCAGGAGAGGTTTCTTTTGCTTTGAAACAGATATCAGGTCATATCAAAGACAGTAGACAATCACAATTACGTTGCTAATTATGACAAACAGTACTCGTACATAACAGTGATGACAAAACATACTGGGAAAGGGTAAAATCATGCCCACAAAGAATAAATTTGCACTATGATATACACAGATCAATAAAGGCGTATTTTGTTTCTAAATGAATCTTGCATGTATGAAATATATGTTGAAAACTTATTGATGTTAGCAGTTATGAAAAATATTACTTGTACATTACAATGATGACACAATGTATTGGAAAAGGGCATATCATGCCAACAAAGAAGAAATATGTACTTTTGAGTTAGACAGATAAACAAGGACATGTTTGTCTATTTGTTTGAGTAAAAAGAGCACACATGACATAAATGTTTGCTCTTAGGACAATGTAATTTCTGTACGTCAGTCAGTCTTGTACGGCTGCATGACGACACCCCTAACGTCATCACTAAGCACAAAAGCTAAATCTATAACCACAGAAATGATCCATCTCTCGAAGTTTGTTCACATATCACACTCTTGTTCCAGGAATCCAATGTAAACACCGCAATTTCACTAAAATATTCAATAGGGTAGCCTAAAAACACGCAAAACAGTCCAGTACGTCACATTCAACGCAATATTCTTGTGCGTAACAGGAGGGTGACGGCAATGACTACTTTCATTTTTCTCTTTCCCCCGTTGCTTCCGCTGTTCTGGGGAAGCGGGTAAGAGGAAGTCACTCAAGAAAACAGTTATGTCCGAGGCACTGTTGATGATCCGTTCAAAACAAAAGTAGGCTAAAATTCGGACTTCCGGTACGTCGCAAAGTGACGCCATTAACGGCAAATGTTAAACAGCCGACCGAAATCGTAGATCTAGGAACCCGATGTTCTTTTCGCGCATTGCGGCTTTTGAACTATTGAACAAATGACGAAAAGCAAAAAGATATTTAACCAGCTGTGGTGATTCTACTGAAAAATAATGGTGTTTTCTGAAACACCTGGTCCATGACGACACCACTGACGCACATGTTATCCGAATTATTCGTTTATTTGCAAACAAACTTATTTCTTGAGCATGTGAACCTTTCTCGATCACAAATAGCATAGAATCAAAGCACAGGTTTAAAAAAAAAACCCACCCAAAAATACTAAATTTTGGACATTCTTGGACGTTTGCATTGGTGAGCTCAAAATGACAGTCCAGGAATCACAAAAAAACGAACATTTTTGGCAAAAAATTTACAAACACAAGATTGTAAAGCTGACACTGGGTCTGAAACTGCTAATGTAGGTTCTACATCCTATATTTAACATATAAGTTTTGGAGGAATAAATACTAATGCATCACATTTTATGCACACTAATGTGAGATGTATGTGTTTTTCCCCACGTTTTGGCAATGGCTCATATATATATATGCTACAGTTTACAACCAAAGTGAATGGCTTTTTTTGTGGTGGACTTCAACTTCCATAATGGGAGAACTTTCGTAACGAGCGACCTCAATGAGACAGAGCAGAATTTAGGGGTATGGTTAGGGTTAGGGTTAGGCCTCTTCTTTATATTGTGTTTGATGGGGTGGTCGCTCATTACGGAAGTCCTTCCTCTGTAGCGAGCAACCACTATGAGACAGAGTAGAACTGAGGGTTAGGGTAGGGTTAGGATCTTTATTTTTATTGTTTGTTGGAGTAGTTGCTCGTTACAGATTTGTGTAAAGTTTAGTGGGTGGTTGGCGGGTGCTCTGGTGTGGTTTCGTCCTTATCTCCCCTTCTTTTTTATGTTTGTTACTCTCTTGCAACACCTCTAATCTTCTGGCACTCAATATGACCGTATGCAGTTGCGAGCGCCGTAAAACCTACTTAAGCTAAGAAAACCTAAAATTAAAAGTTTCATGCCATTGATAATTCATTGGCTTTTTTCTAAGCTGCAGCTGAGAAGTCTTGACATCAGGGATTTTTTACTGATAATTTTTTTTTTGTTACATGAGAACTAAGTACATTATAATATCAACTTTGACGAAATTTGCAATTTTGTGTACTCTCATTTATTGTTACGTCTTGTTCCATCACTGTTATTCGAAGGTTGACTTTTGGGATTGGGATTATGGTTGGGGGTTTAGTTTGCAGTTTGCAATCTTGAATCATTATCTTCACCTACCTCTAGCTTGTCCCTTCTCTCTAACTCTATCATGGGCACCGGTCTGGAAACATAAACAATTTTTAAGATACTACATCTAATGCCCCCTGTGTTCTTTCAAACTTAATGGTTAATATGGCAGGAGAACAAGTGCCCACACACTCACAACATGCACTACATTTTGCAGAGTTTAGTTTTACAAAATACTAAAATAAGAGGAAAGGTCCTTTGCAAAATTACGTGATCACATTCACTTAAAAAGTAATGCTTGAGTCCCTTATGTTCTAATTTGGCTTTTGCATTAGTATTGTGTTTGTGTGGAACACAATAATTTAATGAGTCTCTTTCATGTTCTCTCCCGAAAACTTACACATTCTCTCCTGATTTAAGAGAGAACTGCTCTGTGTAAGACTCGTATGTCACTCTTCAAAATGGTGTATGGCGGAGTCTTACGCAAAGCAGTCGATGTTTGTCTTTGTTAATTCATTTACAAGCTTGGGAAGGGGTTGTGAGCTTTATACAGTGCTTCCAAAGCTCATTGAAGGGTCTGGTTTGTCTTTTCATTAGGGCGCTTACCTGGTACCCAAAAATTATGATATAAAGGGCCTGTTTTGCTTTCATTTCAGTTCTCCATGTTTAATGTTTTTTTCCAACATCCAAACTTTGAGGGGCAGGAAAAGTACTCAATAAGTATAACAACACATTTTCTCTTTAGTATCTCAGCATAGAAAATGAATAAAAAGATACTGCTACCAGCTTGGAAATTTGCGAGAAAGTGACATACACGGCATCATTTTATAAAAAGTATCAAAAGTTAGTGTAAAGTATTCCTCTTAACCCTTCCAGCCCCAAGTGCGTATATTTTCAACAGCGCTTGTACCTCCCACCGTCCCAAGAGGGTACATATTCTCAGTTTCAGGGGGGTACCGAATTTGACCATTTTTCAAAATTAGCGAACCTAATTAAACACTAATTTTCATAATATTTGTTCATTTGCCTTTAAACATTGTTATGTGTTATTGTCTAAAATGCATTACACAGACACTACATTGCTTTTTAGAATGCATGCCTCTTTTTCTGAAATACTGCTGTATTGGCTGGGACTGGGGTTAGGGAGAGCACAAAAGTGGCTGGGGCTGGAAGGGTTAAAGATATTAAAAGCATAATATCTTTTGCAGCTTTTTATCTTTCTTCCTAGTGTTTTGTTTGTGTTGCTGCTTCAATTTTTATGCAGTCTTCCTTTTACTTTTATCAACTCGCAAACCTTGTGAATGAGGCCACAAATATTTCTAGTGTTGACATGAAATTTTTTTTTCCCTTTCAGTACAAAGAAGGAGATGAAGTTGTGCTTTGGATGAATACAGTTGGTCCATACCACAACCGCCAAGAAACCTACAGCTATTTTTCTCTGCCCTTCTGTAAAGGACAGAAAAAAGACATAAGTCATTATCATGAAACTCTTGGAGAAGCATTGTTGGGAGTTGAGCTTGAGTTCAGTGGATTTGACATTGATTTCAAAGGTAAGTTGGAAAAACATTGATGAGTTCCTGAACATAGACTTGAAAAATTCTAGTTTCTTCAAGTATTCTTGGAAGAAACATTTGAAATTAAAATGCATGGGGTTTTTTTTCTGTGCATAAATGTACACACACATTTATTTTTTTTTGACAAAGGATTTCAAGGCTAGTCAAACACCTTTGATCTGATACAGCGAAAGAAAAAGGTTCGTGGAGAAATTAAAGACTGATCTGTATTGATTAAAGTGGTAGTTTGAATAAGATGAAGAAAGAAGTAGAGTTCAGACATTCTTGTTACCAGTGCTGTTAAAAATATTTTTAAAATAACTTTTTCACGTCTTAACAATGGGAATCTTCTTTGTCAGAAGAGCTGAGAAATGAACCTAGCTTGTTTTGACTGTTGTCCATTGCTTGAAGTTCATGCTGCTTGCGTTTTATTTTCAAAGGAGATTTCAGTCACACGGAGTACTGCTTCATTGATCTGACTGTGGATGAGTACCATGCCTTTACATACGCAGTGGAGAACCACTATTGGTACCAGATGTACATTGATGACCTTCCAATCTGGGGTAAGGAAGAGATTTTTGTGGAACAAGCTTTAGGAAGTAAAAATTTTTATCATTTGTTTTCTTTACTTTAAGATGTATAAATTAATTTAATCTGTATGTTAGGGCTGTACCCCGGTAGCAGATCCGCTCGTGCTCGCAAGCCCCTAGTTCAAGTCACAAGCCTCAAATCACTAGGTCAAATCATCAAATCAAATCACGGGCATGATAAGTTGAGTCTAGCGCAAACTGTAACCTCCTTGGTCTAGTCTAAACTTCCAAGTCCACAGCAACTAGCAATCCACGAATCCACTCGTGTCAGACCCCCTCATCATTCCCACCCTGCTTGCAATCCGCGAAGCCATTTTCGTGAGAAAAAGAGACAGGGGGAGAGTGAGAGATCCCGCCCACAGTGTCACTGCGCGGCGTAGCTCTGTAGTCTGCTCGATTAATCGAAGGCTTTGCAAAGCAGCGGACAGCCACAAGTCTCAAATCCCGTCCGCAGCAATAAGCCCCACGATTCACACAGTACTGATTTGGGCTAGGCCTAGTGAATTGTCCCAGGACAAAAGCTCGAAACATGACCTGCTGACTTGTGCTGTCTCGATAGAGCGAGCGAGCGGCACGCCGCAGGACCGTTCGATGGCGGCAAGACCGCTTGATGTGCTCAAACAGCAGTACCGCTCGCTGTGTGCACTTTGATCCGTGGAGGAAGGGAGAGGCTGGGCTTGTTTTGGTGAAGAGAGAGAAGTTATTTTTACCTTCCCGCCGTTGATCAGCTAAGCGAGTGGATAAGTGAGAGGAGCGTGGTATTGTAGTAACAGAGATCTAGGTTTCTGGTAGTAATAAGAATAAGTAAAGATTAGATTACCCTAGAATGGAAAACTCCAGGGGTCGTTGTGATTGGCTTTTGTATCGTATGTATGTAACCTATTTTGCAGATGTGTTACACTCACACTGACATAATACAGAACATTTAGGAGACTGACTAGGCCTACTTCAACCCAATGTCAGGACCAACCTGGGCTGAGAGAGAACAACGCCCCAGCAGAAAGACGGAGGTTCTCAGTAAAAATTTCTCCCCATACGGGAATCAAACTGGGGTCTGTTGCGTGCGACGATGAAGCGCTTGGCTCGTGCACATAAAAAAATAAACAGGCCTTAACATCGTAAGAATAGCCGATCCAATATTAATTTTTAAGTGCATTGAATAGAGCTTTTTGTTTTTTACAACCGAACTATGTAAAAAAACAAATGATCTTGCACTTTTGGTGCAAGCCCCTCAACGCAAATAACTAGAGAATCTTTTGTAATATGTACTGAGCCCACAGCAACGAAGGTTCACGGCGTCACGACACAGTACAGTAGGACTGTCCGCGAGTCACAACTCACCGGAAGTTCCCCCGGTAGCAAGCGGGAGGCAAAGCAAATCACAAGCCTGCTCGCAAGCCTCTAGCGTGAGCCGTCCGCTGCTTTGCAAGCCTTCGATGAACCGAGCAGAATCCAGCCCTACTGTATGTAGGAATGTCAGCATAACAAATTTGTTAAATAAGTTATAGGAGAAAATTTGAAATTTTAATTTCTATTTTAAGACTTCAGTTCACTAAATTTTAGCATAATGAAGCATACCGAGTATAATTAAATTACTTGCAGCTGCCCAGCAGACCTTGGGGTTTAACAGTTTTATTTGTTTTCGACCCTAGATGCATTTTGTGTTGAAAATCCTGATCTTGACATTTCATGATACCTGAGCAAAAAACAAACCAAAAAATTATTCGCTCTACAGGAATTGTTGGAGAGGTTGATGAGAGTGGCGAGGGACACTTCATCTGGACTCATAAAAAGTTTGATATTGGATACAATGGGGAACACATCGTGGATGTAAATCTCACCTCTGAGACCAAAGTCAAACTGAAACCCAACTCCAAGATTCAGTTCAGTTATGAGGTAAGTGCTCTGCTTGTTTCGAAAGATATTTTAATATTTCTATATACAATATTAAAACAAGTGTTTTTCTGTGTTCGTGTCATATTTGGTCATTTTTTGTCATACATTTCGTCACCTATCACACCAAAGGGCGTATCCCTGTTTTCTTACTTTTTCAGGAGAGCGATTTAAAGATTTTCAGACTTTGGTTGCTTCATCCTTTTCCCTTGTCATTTTAGTAAATTGCATCCTACCATCGGGATATTTGGATATTGTGGGCATGATAAGATATCAAACAACGAGCAAGATTGATTTTGCACTGTTTTTTTTATAATTTCACTGCGAAAATGTGCCATCTGTTGGCATACGCCCTTTTATGTGATTGTTTGATTTTTCGTCCTGTCCAGAATCAGTGTATACGCCCATGTATATGCCCTGTGTTTGAGTGTCCACACCATTAATTTCAGTCTTCAGACTGACCAGTAGAGGATAAAATTTCTCCAAGACATCACTCCTCTCTCCGAGATCCACCCGCCAAATCTTACTCTTTCTCTTCTCCTCCCCATACCTCTCTGTCTATCTGTCTGTCTGTCTGTCTGGAAAGTCTCCTCTTGTAGAACAAAGCATCTTCATGTGAATTGGAAAGTATATGACCTGCTGGGGATCAAAGTTCCCAGCCAGAATGCTGTGGTCAGCTTGAATCATCTTCTTGCAATCCTTCTGAAGTTGTCGCTCCTTTTGTTTTTCTGCATCGTGCTGATTGTAAATTTCCCTGAGTTCATTTTTCTGTGCTTCGTGCCCTTTTCAGAAAGAGTTGCAGAGTGAGAACTGGTCCTTTTTAGGACTATGAAAGGCCAGGTTTTTTGTCTTGAACACTTGTCTGAATGTGTGAAAACTTGAGATGTCATTGCATGGATTTTTTTTTTTTTACGAACATGTTGTACATTTTGGACAATGTGAAGTCTGGGTTGAGATACTCTTTGCTTTGATTGAGGAGGAAGATAGGGAGGCAGAGGCCAGTGCTGCCGTGGAGAGGATGATGCTTTTGGGAATAAAAAAAGGAAGCGGAAAATCTGGCATCCTTGCAGGAAAGAACAGAAGAACGTTCAACCAGATGTGCACTGGCACAATCAGTAGAAGGACCCTCGGCAACATTTTGGAGAGAGCAACGGAGCATCAATGGACATGTCCGGAGTGCAGGGATGTTGCTTCCTGAAACAAGAACAAGAACTCTTTGCTGGAAGAGGCCCTACAGTAGTGCGATTCCACGCGTGGAAATCTGTCAATGTGTTGACTGGTAATCTCCCTGTTTTGTTCTTCTCTTGTCTTCATCAGCTCCGATTGCCTACCCCCTCGCTTGCCTTCTTCCACAGTGCCGGTCTCTGTAATCTTTGACAAAACAACTCGGGCACATTTCTCTGAAATACCCTAGGTTGCAAGTAATGTGTTCCTACACACTTTCAAGCGCTTTCCACTGACTGTGATGTAATAAGCATGCGTTTTGCTGCGTCGAGAGTTTGGTTTCCCGACCTTGGGCTCTGTTGTCTCAATATGCCACGCATCGAACTCTCGCTGCTTCTGCAGGTCAGCCATTTTATAAAAGTCCTGGAATATCTCCTTCCTATCCGTTCCTTAGATTCCAGAACACTGACGGCCAGCTCTCGTACATTCCATTCAATGCAGCCCTTTCTCATCATTCGTGCTGGAACAACCTTTTTCGTGTCGGTGCTCATGTACTCTTTACCAGATTGTCGCTTTCTTTTTGCATCGTTCTTCGTGATGATTCTCTTCCGTTTATTTGGTGACGCCTGGTGGGCTGACCCTTCAACTTCAAATGATTCTGGTAGCCGCTCGTTGCTACTCTGGTTCTCATCGGTCTCAAAATCATTGTGCGCTATGGATTCAGAGTTTGTTGATTGCCCCGTCTTTCCATGTTGACTACAAAATACTGGAATTTCTAGGAAATGATCATAGCAGAGGAGAACTAAACATCTGGTGCATGCTGCAAATACTTCAGTTTTGCATTTTTTTACTTCACATTTGCCTGGTTTGAAAGATGTGTCCGTGTCCGAATCATCGAAGTAACCCAGGCCAAGGGACGTGTCTTCATTCTCAGCCTCGTGTTGATCAGGAAATTCAATTGTCATTGTAGGCCTACATTTCCTAAGTTTAGCTAATGGAATGTCATCTGCCAAAGTCGGAGTCACATTCATTGAAATGCGAACTTGCCATTCTGGGCCTAAAACACAAGAAAAATCCCCGATAGTCTGAGTACAAGCAGGACCGCCTCATTTTCACTCTTGCACAAGCAGGATTCGCTGCAACACAGTGCGTGTACTCTGTGTTGTGTATCAGGCCTTTTGCATCATTAGAGGAGGGCCTAGTATTACTATGATATTACGTTATACAGCCTTGGCCTATGCCAGAAAAAAAGACAAAAGTGTTCCTGTAGCTCACAAGAAGGGGCGTGTCCAAGGTATACGTCCCTTCGTGCTAACAGAATTGATCAAACTTTGTATCAATTTTTTGCACACGAAACGGCGTAAGCCTGTGTACGCCGTTTCATCTGATTCGGCGGCGCTGAGTTTTGGTGAACGCCCTTTGGGATTTTTTACTGCTAGTACTGTAATTTTAAAGTTAGGGATACGCCGTTTCGTGTGAACATAGATCTGAGGCAGCGCTATCTACTAGTAGTAACAACTCAAAACTGCCAAAATCTGGAATACGCCCTTTTGTGTAATAGGCGACAATTTGTGATAAGCTGTATAGGCCAAATAATACTCACTACATTTTTGTGACATTTTCAGAATGCTATCAGAGGTCCCCTTGTTATGCAGCTTATTCAAAGATATGTTTATGTGAAGCAGAAAAAAGAAACTTATCTTTTTATGACTTTGTTGTGACTTATTTTTTACTGAATATTATGTCCTCTTTTTTCTTCATCAGATCAAATGGCATCCATCAAACATCAAGTTTGAAGACAGATTTGACAAGTACCTGGATCCAAACTTTTTCCAGCACAGGGTTAGTAAGATCTACTCAAAGCTTTTATTGGCAGATCTGTATGCATGTTTCTTTCTTGCTAACAGATTTTACAGTTTGTGCAGTGAAGTTCTGATCTTTTAAATTACAAAATAGTTGGGTTCTCTCGCAGGCAGAGTTGTATGAATTTTAAGTGTTGGGACTTATAAATCTCATGTTAATGAGCTTCCTTGTCACTTTATTTTTTTCCAAGCTGAGATATCATTTGGCAGTTGTAATTCCTGATTGAAGTAAAAAAGTTTTTGTTGGGGGGGGGGGGGGGGGGGGATCTCTTAATCTCTTTGATTGCATTAGGAAAAAAAGGATCTAAACTTGTCAAAACTGCTTAGCGATCAACCCAAACTTGCCAAGGTCACATACATTCCTGCATGCTCTGTGCAAATGTTTGGAGGTGGTGCCCTTCACACACACACACGCACACACACACACACTCGCATGCGCTCACACCCTCTTGTTTATTTTTAAAAACAACTACAGGCCATTACAGTTACAGCTTCATATTGTATCCCTTGTTATGTCTGTCACCAAGCTGTTTTGCTTGTATGTGAGCATGACTGGAAAAAAAAATAGTAATCAGTGTTAAAACCTTCCCTACTTTTGTACCATCTTCCCCTTTCCTCACTCATTCTCTGAAAATGTCTTACTGATTTTAAGAATACATCCACTTTACCCATGCCATGGAAACAACCTTTGTTTTTCATCATTTACTCCAGAGGTCAAAGGAGATACAGTGATGAACTCACTTTGTATTGATTATTGTTTCAGATTCACTGGTTCAGCATTTTCAATTCCTTCATGATGGTCATCTTCTTGGTGGGTCTGGTCAGTATGATTCTGATGCGTACTCTGAGGAAAGATTATGCTAGATACAGCAAGGAAGAAGATCTTGATGATATGGTAAGTCTGCATGTTTGTTTGGGTGTCCATTGTTCTTTCTTCTCACTCTGGTCACTGTTGTGATGAATAGGCTGTTGACATGGTCTCCTGTTATATATTTATTTAAGTTGTGTTTTTCACAGTTAAAGCAAGTAAGTGACTGAAAGCAAAGTGTTAATAGACATAGCTGATTTCATTTATTCAAATATCACTTCACATTTTCTTTTGAAATATATGCACAGAAGTGGGAAAGTGGTGAATGAGTTTTTTGAAAAATTGATTATTTTACCATAGTTATGTACGTTCAAGGAAAAAGTTTTGTTTCATGTACAGTGCACACCATGAAAAGCTTGATGAAAGTTTGAGTATTAGTGTCTTCATTACTGTGCGTACTCTATAAACTTGCCAAGGAGCCCAAACAACTTCGGGGGAAGCATATGGGGAATTTAATAAACACAGTTTTGCAAACTATTCTTTTTTTCTGAACAGGAAAAAGATCTTGGAGATGAGTATGGATGGAAACAGGTTCATGGAGACGTATTTCGGCCAGCGTCCAATTCCCTCTTGTTCTCGGCACTGATCGGCACAGGCTACCACATTGGCATTGTCAGCCTGTGTGTCATACTGTTCACCATTGTGGGAGAACTGTACACAGAGTCAGTATTACTCTCCTATTCTCATTTGCTTTACTGGTACTGTACTGCCAGTTCATTTTATTGCCTGAAAGGGCCTTTAGTTTGTTATGTTGGCTAATATGATGGGGGGAAATTATAAGTAAGAATAGACTGAAATACCAAAGTCTCTCAAGATCCCAGTGCCACACTGACATGTTGTTGACTGGATATAATGTACCTACATGTGTGTGTGTGTGTGTATTCACAAACATATACATGTATTATATTAGATATAAATGGAGCACACGCTTTCATTGTTATGTAACGTGTTCCTGGAAAATGGATGAGGCCCCTCCCTTGGAAAATTGAGAAGCTGGGTTGGCAGTCACCCAGTATTATAGTCATCTATTGTTTGAAGACTACATTACAAAATATACATTTGCATTCATTTATAGACATTTTGACATTTTATCATTGATAGATTGGCTTTTTTGGGGATCATTTTTGACGCGCAACGGCCTGATTTTTCCCTCGAATTGGGGTCTTGAAAAAAATTTGGGGGTCTTGAAAAATTTTTCAAGGATTTGGTGGGGACCCTGTATGTGAAAGACAAAAATTGGTAAAGATATTATTTATCAAGTGCATGATATTCATCTGCATAGTTGACAATTTAAAATGGTTATTCCACACTCTGAAAAGTTTATTCATGGGGGGGGTATTTTATCTTCTCTGTATGTCCTTTATTTTATATTGCCCAACTTTATAATACGCTTATTTCTGATTTCTTGCAGACGAGGGTCCTTATTGAGCACTGCGATTTTTGTTTATGCTGCAACATCCCCAGTGAATGGCTATTTTGGAGGCAGCCTGTATGCACGCATGGGAGGTGATATAATTGTTATTTTCTGCAGAATTAATGAGAGTGATTTCAGTTCCTTGTGAAAGAATGTTAAAAATGAAATGATCATACTGTAGTCCATTTTCTGCTTATTTTTGTTATGATTGGTCATACCCTATGTTGACTAATAGGGCCTACAAAGGGGACTGCTTCAAAGGCAGGTTTAGTGTCATTGTCAGGATCAGAGCTCCCCATTGCGCACAAATCTGCAGATTACCCCCCTTAAAGTTTTGGTGGTGCATGAGCTTTACCCTTTATAATTTCATTTCGGAGGTTTGTGTACACTTTAAAACGTAGGTGGTGTGGGTCTGGCAAGCATCCTTTTCCCCCTTCTCTATCCCGAAGCCGAGTCATTGATTTGACAACACACCCACACACATGCACGGTAGTCGCCTTCTGTGTCAGAAAAAGTCGGACTAGTCGACTTACTTATCTGCTGCACGCAGTTTCCGGCAACACCGGCTGGCTTCAGCACAAAAGCTCCGCCCACATTCTGGTTGATCACATTTGCCAATGTTGTGCCTTGAGTTTACTCCTACTTTGAGATTACCCCCATCCTTGTTTAACACACTAGTATGCCTAAACATGAATTGTCCGCCATCGAAAGTGTGGAAAGACTGAAATGTGAGCCCTGGGATGGCTCTGAAGAATAATGAATCAGTTTATTTTCCAAACCTGCCACTCATCCCTGCCCTAAATTTCAAGCATCCCGTTTACTCGATTTTGATCGCGTGTACCCCGATATAAAAAAAAAATTGGGGGGAGGGGGGGGGGTTCCGCCTGTTGGGCCAGATTTTTCTAAATGTTACTCTGCCATCTTTTCTGTCGTGGGAAGCAATCGTTAAACTTTTTGTTAGCGGAAACTGTGAGCAGTATTTTCCTAAATGTCTAGAAATTTAAGTCCCAATTTAGAAGTTGACTCACCAAAAGTTGTTTTTGATCTTTGCTCACACGTATTATTTCAACTATAATGGAAGTAGTATTGATTTGGCATTCCGACTTAAGACATGAAGATCTATGTTTGCCAAAACATGCTTTGTCAGAGTTCTGGTTAGTCGAGCCCGTCGTCAAGACTCTTCAGGAAAACTGTTCCAATCGTGCGTTTGCACCACGTGACATGACTTTGGCGTGTGAGTTGCGCGTGTGTCGGGGACCGTCCGTTGACGGGGTCAATTTAAGTTCATACGCACCGGTTGATGTGTCTTTCGGGACTTATCCGGGGGGAGGCGTGTAAAACTCTTGAACAAAGAGAGCTTGATGTGATACTTCAGGATTAAAAAAGAAATAATGATAAAACACACACAGGCACGTGCAGACACAAACACACACATACATGCGTTCACGCACACACATACACCACACACACGCGCTCACGCAGAGGGAATATACATGGATATAACAATGGACAGCCCTGGAAATTTTTTAAGTCAGCTTGGCAGTGACCTAAGTGATTTGTCGTTGATCTCAATTTTTTTCACCAAGTCCCAATTTTTCTTCCCACTGAGATCCTGACTTTTAGATTTCATAAAGTGGTAGGTCTATTTTTCTTTTATTACAGTCGGAATTGACCCCTTTTGGTTTGTCAACTTTATTTTTATTTTTGATAGGCCCAACAGCTCAACCCCCCCCCCCCCCCCTCCCCCCAATGGACACCATTCTAATTCTAGTGAATGTTACTCATTTATTTCTTAATTAAAAATCGTTACCATTCCATCATAGTTATGGTCACTCTGTGTGCATGTGAGTTAAATGTTTACAAGCAAAAAATCTTACTATAAAATGATGAGATATTGACTTTTACCCTTTAAGTTTCTAAAACAAAGGTTTAAATACCCCTTAAGATAGTAAACCGAAGGGTGGAGGAACCTCTTAGGATTGTCAGGAAGTAATTACCATGAAATTTTCCCAGGTTGTTATGGTAACCACACTTGCATACCATTCTGGTTAGATCTGCAAATCTTCGGCTTGAAGCAATTTCTTTTTCTGAAATCATATTAAAATTTCTCCTTGTGAGCTTATAGTGGGTTTTTTTTTCTATGAAGAATGAAAGTGCAATGTGTGAAAGTTTTGCTCAGGCAATAAGTCCAGAGCCCTGGTTACAAATGGCAATTAGTATTCTAGTCACTTTCCGCGAATTATTTGTTATTTACATTTTTTTTAATGTGTACTTTTGTTTCTTCCCAGGTAAATTGTGGATTAAGCAAATGGTCACGAGTGCTTTCTTGATGCCATCAGCTGTTTGTGGCACTGCCTTCTTCATCAACTTCATCGCAATTTACTATCATGCCTCAAGGGCCATTCCCTTCACAACCATGGTTAGTAGAACATTATTTATTCCGCCTCTATTTTCAGAAACTAAGCATGAACATGGAAGTTTTTGTGAAGCTTGACGTTCTTTGCAAAGAATTGAAAGTTTTTCCTTGGTCATTTCGATTTGTCTCTAAGGTATCAGAACACAAACTTTTCTACCAGTGAATGCCATATCAAAATTACTTGTCTGCTTCAAAAAGGCAATAAAATAGAGGTTCTTTGACATGTCTTTGAATTGAACCCTGGAATAAAATATGTTGTCACTCACATTTGGTATAACAATAAAGAGTTAGTATGAGCAGGTACAGTAGACCTGCATGTTTGCCGACAATCGTCTGAAATCCGACAATCGCGACCCGGCCCGAACGGGCCGATGCTATCGTTAGGCCCGCCTGTATCAGTCAATGTGCGTAGTGTGAGGCTTGGCCGACTGCCAGCGACCCCTGTTTCTCCCGTCGGCTTCGTCGGCACTTTCGTTTTCGTGCCGACCGCCGACGCGTGCACCGCCGACTGCCGACGTCGGCGTTTCCGACATGATTGTCGGAACCTAAGTAGAAATGCGAATACGAAAAAGGACAACAACTTAAATTATCTACTTTCAGTTTCGTGCTCGAGCGACCATTTTGAATTTCGTTTGTTGACTAATTCAATTGTTCAGATCATGTGGATTCATTCAAGTCCGACTCTCTTGATAAGCATTTCACCAGGTGCGTGAATTATTTATTTATTTAGATCTAGAATCTAGACTCAGCTGAATCCCTCTGTTCGGAATCGGATGCGGATTTCTAGTTCAAGGCCTATTCCTATTCACTTGTTCTACAAGATCTAGATCTAGATCTATTTAGATTACTAGATCTAGATAGATGGAGGATTCATATGTATCAAACCCTATAGCAATGTAGATGTAAGCCATATAGATCTAGAATCTAGATCTATGCTCCTTGTTTGTTTTGGAGTGTGGTTTTTTAATTAAACATTTTTTTTTCATTTAGAACTTGTTTTGGCCTTTTTACATGAGGCCCGTTGCAGGTTCTTTTTTTGGGGGGGTAGGGTTAGGGTTAGGTCTCTTCTTTATTGTGTTTGTTGGGGTGGTCGCTCGTTACTCGGATGTCCTTCCTTATGACACCCACAAAGGCTTTTTTTGGGGGGGGGGGGGGGGGGTTGCGCAAAAGTTTCAGACAATCTGGTTGAGGCTCACATGCAGGTCTAGTACAGGTTTTGTAAATGCTGTATTTTAAAGAGTAACTACAATGAAACAAGTGTTTTGTTTTACATGTCCAGACCTGCCACTCATCAGGATTTAATCGGGATATCCCGATTTTTTGCCCCAAATCTCAAGCATCCCGATTTTCCCGATTTCGATCGCCAGTATCCTGATTTTTTGTCGTTGCGTCCGATTCTTAGAAAAAAAGATAAAAAGTTTTGCAATCTCCTTTGCTTGGAAGCACCGATTGGACTTTTTTATCAGCAGGAACTTGGAACGCTACTTTCTAAAGGATCTATACTGAATCTAGTGGATGACTCACGCACGTTATTTCAACTAAAATCAACGTAGTATCGATTATGAATTCCGACATGGATACACTCAAGATCTACTTTCGCTTTTATAACTCAGAATCCTCCAATGGTGTCCTGATTACTGTAACAATTATGACATGGGCCTAAGAATAATCTATTCGTTGTTCTGCCGTTGCTTTAAAAGCAAGCTTCGTCTAGCTGAGTTCTGGTTGGTCGGGCTCATCATCAAGACCTGTCAGTGGAACTTTCAAACGCTCATTTGCATCTCATGACATGACCTCATACGTGTGAGCAGCGCGTGTGTCGGGGACCGTCGGCTGTCGGGGTCAATAAAGTTCATTCACACCGGTCGCGTTGGTCAGGGTGTTTTTCGGGACTTAACCAGTGTGGACGACCGGGGGGAAGGGGGTTGGGGTGTATTTTTTTTTACACTTGGTGCCGTGATACAGGTACTAATTGAGGCTAAAGGAATAAGAAAAAAGAAATAAATGAACAACCTTGGCGCGATCTTTTTTTCGGGGGGGGGGGTGGGGGGGTGCCTTGAGTGCATATGTGATGGGAGTCAAACGTTATTACAGTATGAAAACGCTGGCTTTTTGCGTAGATGATTAGAGTTATGCGTCAGCTATTTTCAAGACTACGCGAGTTTCAGCTTTTCACTTTACTGCAACCTGCGCTTCCCCAGTCTATTCAACTCGGACTCCAGTGCATAATATATGCTGTCATTCAGTTTTCCCTCTATTTAGAGGCCCAAACATGAACTTATTCCTGCAAAAGTTTTGTCTTGCATACTTGCCTCATAAAAGGGAACCAGGAGCCCTTATGAATGATTTGCCGTTGATCCCGATTTTTTTCACCAGATCCTGATTTTTTTACTCCAAAATCCTGATTTTTAAACTCTAAAATCCTGATTTTTAGATTTCATAGAGTGGCAGGTCTGCATGTCTGATCATCTTTTAATTGTTGTCACTCGTCCCTGCTTAGGTTGCTGTGACATGCATTTGCATCTTCGTGATCCTTCCCTTGACCCTGGTTGGCACAGTGCTGGGTAGAAACCTGTCAGGTCAGCCAGACTATCCCTGCAGGATCAACGCCGTGCCCAGGCCCATTCCAGAGAAGAAGTGGTCAGTGTTTGGAGGGGGGGGAGTTGCTGAGTAGTTGCATGTCATGCTCTCGGTCTGTTGTTCATTCTGTCATCCTCTTTTTCTTTCTGTTCACTTTTTTCTTAGCTTTATGTGACCATGATGCAAGACTTGTTGGGTTCTTTTTCTTTTTGGGTAGAGAGGGGATGTGTTGCACGATAGTCTGTCATTTATCTTCTTTTTTTTTTTTAGTACTGTCTGCCATGTTATTTTAAGGACTGTATGTAGTCCTTTTTATGTTTATGGAATTTTAAAAAATTCCTGCTTATCATGCTTTTTGCGGGTGATTGGAGGGCGCCACTGGCAGGTCCTACTTCTTAACTTTCTTCTATTGTTTCTGTCTGTATTACCTTTTCCCGCAATTAACCCCTTCACTGCTGACCTATATGCCCCGCCCTGTGCTGACCTTATTTCCAGGAATAGCACTTCAAACGGGTGACCCTTTCAAAGTGCTATTTACTCTGTGGTAATGCATCAAATGCATAACAATGTATATATCATTTTAAAGGAAAATGAATGAACTTTTCAGTCATGCCAAAGACAAAACACAATGTGAAAGAATAAAAAAGTTAAGAATGATGAAAGACAAGAGAGACAAAAAAAACCAAAAAAATAATTAAGATTTTCTTACCTGACTTCTACGATGTGGAGACTTGATATAGGTAATCCAGGGCATAATCCAAGCCAGAAAACACAGACACATGTGGCACATATATTCCAAGAGAAAAAAACAACACATTCACAGGTATTTACACTATGTACACTTATTTACACAGGGTGCCAGCAGATTACTGACGCCAGAAGAAACGCTCGGTGTGGTACTTTTTATAGCACCCTACCAAGCACAGGCCTGGTTTGCTTGGGCAGTCGGGACAATAATAGCGAGTGTCCCTTCGCGGGCCCTTCCGTGCACACACATGGCACTTCTTCTGTGGCCTTGCTTTCTTTTCTGTCGCTGGCAAATCCTCAACGAAGTGCCGACCCTAGAGTCTTACGCTGTGGTCATCCTCCACAGCATCTGCGGGATTGCCGTCACCGAAGATGAGGTCAGATATAACATCCTTCTGAAATGAAAGAAAGGTGCCTTCGTTGCCAGCCTTCTGATATAAGATGAAGGCATTCAGAAGCCCAATTTGCATGAAGCGGATACAGAGCTTCTTGTACCATTTCAGACTCTTCCTTGTTGCATCATAAGGCTGCAACATCTGATCGTGGCGATCAACTGCACCCATTTTAAAAATTGTATTCCACAATCGCTGGAGGATTCTCTCCGGTGCCCTGTGGTGGGCGACAAGTCGTTAGCATGTAGACGTCTCGCTTGTCTACCAACTTTTGGGCCAGAAGTGATTCGCTGATGCAGCTCTCTGTTTGGCCTTTGGGGATTTGGAGCTGCTGAAGGCAAAGCGGCGCTCTGTTTGCTCTCAAAGTCCCGCAACACGAGATACCCTTTGAGTGAAGAAATGAAAATAGGTCCACCTGTGAGTACCAGTTGTCAACAAACAACTTGTGCCCCTTGTTCAAAAGAGGTAGCATAAGGTGGACTACCTCTTTTGCAGAACACCCCATTCTGGCACAACCTTCTGGCAGCACTTCGTTCATGGCCTCTGTGTTTTCATCCTTTCCTGTGCACTCGAAATCTGTACGTGTACCCACTGCTATCGCATAACATAAAGGATTTTATGCCGAATCTGGCACGCTTGAACGGAATGTACTGCTTGAACATCAAGTGACCTTTCCACAGCAGTAGGGACTCATCGATCGCTATGTCCTGACCAGGTTCAAATGCAGCCTGAAAACGTAAGAGGTGGTTCAGGACAGGCCGAGGCTTGAAGAGCCGGTCCCTCCGGGGAGCATCGGCAGCTGGCATATCTGTGTTGTTGTTCAAATGCCAGAACTTCAACAACAGAAGGAACCGGTCTCGTGGCATTGCTGCGCTGAATACTGGTGTAGTAAACAATGGATCCCTACACCAGTATGAATTGATGTCCGGTTTTTTGAGGAGGCCCATTAGCAACAATATGCCAATGAAGGTCCTCATTTCGTCTACTTTCGTGTCACTCCACTGCTTGACCCGAGAGTTGGGTTTCAGGGGAGTGGACGCAATGTACGCTGCAGCATACCTATTAGTTTCCACTACCAAGTGCTGCAACAGGTTTTCATCTAGGAAAAGACCGAAGAACTGTGTGGGGGTAAAACCAGCAACATCCACTTTGATGCCGGGTTGGCCTGTAAAAGGTGGGATTACTGGTTGAAAGGTTGAAACATCACGTTTACAGTCCAGCGTCCTCACAGTGGCCCTCTGTGCTGATCCTCTGCCTCGGACAACACCTCTGCCTCTACTTGTCTAGGGGATAGGAGCACTTTCCTCTGCTGAACTCTGTCGACTCTCTAAGAATGAAAAAAGGACAGAGCTTCTGTGAGAATTTTGCTTGAATCCAAGTGCATTTGTTTACAATATACACAAACACAACACATGAACACATAAATCTAGTGAGTTTGGAATTTAGGTTTGCAAATAAATTGAATGTACTACTAATTCCGATAAACATAAAACACACTTCTAATCACATTACAAATAACTGCAGTAAACTATTTTAGAAATCGTTGTATACAGCATGAATCAAACCCTTGTCATCCTGTTGCATCTTTTGGCCACCTTCAAATCTATAGTGTCTAGGAAATAGGACTATCTGGGCTAGACAGACCAAAAGTCTTCGTCTTTCAGTCATAGGGGCCCAGACCTATAGTAAAAACATTGTACTCATCCTACACAGATTGCAAAGATAAATATAATTTAGATCTAGACCCAGATCTACATCAAGTAAACAGATCACGCCCGAATACCATGACTCTGAGTCTGGGGAGAGATCTTGATAAGATCGAGAATTATGAAAAATTTACCTTTGTCTGCTGGCTCATCATTCTCTTCTGCTTCGTCCAGGTCCAAAACATCAGCATCACTATCATCTGACTGGTAGTCTTCATTATCACTAGCAGCCTCAAAACCATCATCACTGCTATCATCGGTGAAAATTTCGCCGAGAACTTGACGCGTTGTGAGCATACGTTGGGTGCGATCAGCCATGGCTGGGAGCTAGAGTGAAAGGCAGCGAGAGTGAAACGCTAGAACGGTGAAGAAGGACTGACGCTATAATTCCCGCTATTTAGGTTATTGTTGGCCTAATTAGGGCAAATAAAAGCTTCTCTAACTAGGGAAGAAAAGAGCTTTCAGGGGAGCCCACTCTCGATACTATATTGCTATTACCGGCTGAGTAGGAAACGAAACAGAACAGCGGTATACGCCCACAGCGCATAGGAGGGCCCAGACGATTTATGGACGTACACCGCACGCCAAGCAGCAGTGAAGTGGTTAAGTGACCATTATTGTGTCGATGTGCTTCTCTTTACTCAAACATGCTTTTGTTGCTGTGTGTCACCACGACATGTATCATCTGTCAACTGGTGCAGATGCTGCCGTTGTATAAGCTAAATTTTCCTCTAGGGTTTTCTCTCACTTCTCCATCTTACAAAATCATCCTTACACTGTCACTGTAAGTTGGCAAAGAAAGGGAAAGATGTTTTTGTAAATAAAAAGTTAATACTTGAACTTTATGAGCTGGCAGAGGTAGGTAGTCGGTCCCATTTCTTTACCATCCCTCTATCATTTATTTGTAGTAGTCAATTTCCCCAGACTAACATCAGGTTTTCTCTAGCTCAAGACTGAAAACATGAACCATTGTAATCTAATATTTTAATCAAGCATTGTTTGCGGGCGTTCTTTCAGGTTCATGGAGCCAGCTGTGATCACAGTGTTGGGTGGCGTGCTGCCATTTGGCTCTATCTTCATTGAGATGTACTTCATCTTCACCTCCTTCTGGGCCTACAAGATCTACTACGTGTACGGCTTCATGCTGCTGGTCTTCCTCATCCTGACTGTGGTCACTGTCTGCGTCACCATCGTATGCACATACTTCCTGCTCAATGCTGAAGACTACAGATGGTATGTGCCGCATATCTGTTCTAACTTGTAAACGCTTTGTTTTGTAGTATCGATGATGCAGGGTCTCCACCAGGTCGAAAAATCGGGATAAAATCGGGAATTTTGTGATGGGTCGGGAAAGGATAGGGCCTGTGTAATATTAGAAGTGTATCTCTCTAAACAATATGGTTGAGGAATCATGGAGCGGAAACGTAATTGAACTGCTATGGCGGCACGCGAAAGTGTATGTGTGACACCGAGGCTCGATCAGGAAGAATCAAGATCTACTTTCGCATTCGTTTCCACCCAGAAATTTTCCAGTAATAGTCTGATAGATAGCGCAACATTTAGTAACATGTGAATTACAAATGCTGTGTGAATTGGGGGGTGGGGGAGTGTTGCTGATTTTATTTTTTAAAGATACTTTTGAGGAAGTTGGGGGGGGGGGGGGGGCAACGCTATACTTGGAGGCAAATTTTAAGTATTTAGAGTTTTGGTTATAACTACTATAAGAGCTCTCTGCAAAGCGCACGTTGGTGCAGGCCTTGTGTGGAATCGGGATCCGTCATGCCTTGTTATTGAACTAAAGTGTTCGCATTTCATAGCAATGCCAATCGCCCGCTGCGCCATGGGATGGAAATCAGCCTCCGTGCGAGGGTTGATTTTTGGGCCGCTCGGAATCAGAAGTGACTCTGTTCTAAGTATAGTTACGGGAAAACTCAGGGACGAAAATAAATGAAACTCGGCAACCAATCAGAGGAAAGGTTAAACTAACGACATGCCAGCGTACAATCCCGAACGATTTCTAGAACCGGAGATATTGCCGTGTTTGTGCGATTTTCCTCTGCGGTTCGAAAACTAAGCAGAGCTGCGGGTTCATCGCCGACCACACAGGCGCCCCACATGTCTTCTTTATTGTTGTAAAATTTCAGATCTCTGCGTTAAGTACATTTTACGTACCAACTTAAAATTTCCACCCATCCATTGATAAAGCACTAGAGCTGGAAACTAGATCTCGCATTCCAAACGCGAGGTGCCGGCATGAAAGAGGCGCGTGATCGCTAGGCGGCATGTGATTGGCTGCCTATAACTAAATATGTCACCGATGACTTCATCGCGGGTTTTCCCGATAGCGCTTTACTAAGTTTTAGAAGGGTGATCGCGTCGCGGTAAAAATAATGTCACTCAATTCAACAAATTTCATGCAAATATCAGTCTTTAAGATCCAAAGTAATTAAGACATTGAAAAAGGGATAGCAGAACTAGATTCAATGAAACGTAGCAATGACAATGAAAAATTAAAAATTTTGTCCAAATTGCTTTAAAATTGGCTTAAATGAAAATATCGTAAATTCTAAGACCTATGGTTTTTAAATTTATAAAATCCATTGATAAATAAAAAAGTTATTGGGATTTTTGTTTGCAAAATGTTGGAGGACATTCATATAGGAAAATATCACCAAAATGTTGGACACGTCTTGGTGTATTTTGAGGAAAACTATTCATAAGTCAGTAATGAATGGGAGCATATGAATGAAACTTGGCAAGATGCCAACCTACATGTGTGTGTGTGTATTCACAAACATATACATATAATATATTAGATTAGATATACATGGAGCATGCGCTGTCATTGTTGTGTAACATGCCCCTGGAAAATGGATGAGGCGCCCCCCCCTTCTGAAAATTGAGAAGCTGGGTTGGCAGTCACCCAGTATTATAATCGTTTATTGTTTGAAGACTATACTACAAAATGTACATTAACATTCATTTAAAGACATTTGGACTTTTTAATCATTGATAGATGGGCTTTTTGGAGGATCATTCTTGATGGGCAGCAGCCTTATTTTTCCCTCAAATTGGGGTGTTGAATAAAATTTCCAGGATTTGGTGGGGACCCTTATGATGGTGCCGAGATGGGGGGTTATCAGGTTTGTCACCACATAATCACAATGTGAACATGTACTCTCTAGAGCAGTAGTTAGATCATTTTTGGTACTCATGAGAAAAATAGGAGAATGTATTCTGGACCGTTTATTGTTTTAAATTAAGTGCATTTACTCATTCAGTGCTGGGCAGTTCGTTATACATCATGTGTAATGGGTGGACTCCCTTAAATAATCATAAAACAAAAACTGCTAAACTAATCTTTATGCTGGTTTTTTTTGAAAAAATACATTTCTAAATAAAGTGCCTTACAAAATGAATCCACATGTTAACTCAAGTAAATGGGATATCAAAGCCCGTATACCCTTTCGTTGTGATCAGCAGGGGAACATACAGATCTAATTTTCTCACTTTTCTGTTCACTATCACTGACCATATCCTCTTATAGGTTGGAATCATAAAGACAATATAATGCATTGTTTCACCTTCTTTAATATCTTAAGAGTCATGCGCTTGAAATGACTGTTAGGAGGAACAAATTATCAACCAAAAATTAGCCACAATATTTGTCAAATCAGTCAAAGTTCACAGGCTATTTACGAAGACTTGGGCACCCTTGACATTTCTTGTGATTTAGTGTATTATACTTAGGTACTGTTTTTTTGTTTTTTTAGTTGGTGAAATAGTTTTTAAAGACAGGTCATAGCCGAAGACTTGACACACTACTAATGATGTGTTTTTTTCACTTTTATGAGTATGAATTTAGCATTATCATTCAAATATATGTACGTTACTGATTCTATGGTCTATATATACTCCAATTTCATGTCTGGTTACTCTGGTTTTCTCCCAACAGGCAATGGACCAGCTTCATGGCAGCAGCATCAACTGCCGGCTATGTGTACATGTACTCCTTCTATTACTTCTTCTTTAAAACAAAGTAAGTACATCAAAGTGATAAAGTTTAAATTTATAGGCACGGCAAGGGTGTATTTTTCTTCTTTCTTCTTCCTTGTTCTAGAAAGGGTCTATTAAAGTTTGCATCATGTTACCTTGTCTCAGAATATCTTAACAAATATACAATGGTCATGTCAACACAATATGGAATCAAACCCAATGCTCATATTCCTCCCCTTTCCCCTGGATCTGTTAAAATATCAATGTATTCCATGAAAGTTATGCTCAGACGTGACATTGATTGCTTTGTTTTAAACCATTTATCTATGGTCTATAAAATTGTATATAGCATAAGTAAGAGTGGCGAATTGAGAAAAAGTAACTTGGCCGTTTTGCAACAGAACAATGCTTTAAATTTGGGTTTTTGGTTGTTTCAAAAGTTTCAAGGCTTGCTGTTCCTAGAGGTAAGATAACGAATGAGGATTGCATAGTTTTTGTTTTTATTTGAGTGATAAATGTTTGGCCATTTTGGTATGTATGTGGCTATTGTTCTGTAAACTGCCAGCAAATTGGTAAAAATGTTTTTAACCTTTCTTTCCCAGAATGTATGGACTCTTCCAGACAAGTTTTTATTTTGGATACATGGCATTATTCAGCTTATCTTTAGGCCTCATGTGTGGTAAGTTGTTGGGTTTTGTGACTGTTTAGTTTCTGCTCTTACTACTTTCTTTCATTCCTCAAGACATTTTCTAATCTTCACAGTTGGTCTAGCATGCACATGGCAAAATGGTCAAGGCACAGAAATCTTTTCGTTATGTACAAATTTCACCATGTAGGTGTTTTAAATACAAAGTAAATATATGTAGAGAAAATGTGTTCACTATGTGCAGGCTATACTGCACAACAACTTTTGTGTGATCTGGGCTTGCTATAAACTATCATTTCCTTCTCTGTCATTCCTATACCTTATTAGTGATATATTGGTAGATGTTTTTGAAATGTCTTTTCTCTTTGTTAAGGAAGAAGCCAGTGAAGGTGTATGCTTAGGAAGCCCAGAAAATAGTGGATTTAACCCTTCCGTTGCCAGGGGGTATACGTTCCTACTGTCAGCACTGATTTTCACAAAGCTGCCACTTTTCTGCTAAATAGCGGGAACTCCGCTATCTCCGCTTCATCTAGTTTTTCCCACTACTTTCCTCCTTTCTCCGCTGGACCACTATCGGTAGCAAATTGCGACCCTTTTTTACACGTGGAAGACGCCGAACCAGGAGTGAGACGAAAACACGGCTTGCGCATGTCCGCCCATAGCTTTCTTTCGGTGCCTAGTGCTAAAGTTTCACATTGTTTATTGTGGAGTAACAGTATCAACTGTCGATCGAGCATCAGAGCGATGGCGCGCCAAGTTGTCATTGAAAATGGCGGAAATTCGAGAGAAAGTGATGCAGAATGCAAAAATAAATGTAGGTGGGTTGAGAAAAAGTAGACGGTGACTTCAACAGTTCATTAGAAAATTGAAAACGCCGGTTGCTGCACTTTGCTTTAGGTGAGATAAAGAGATCTCGTACAGTGGCAAAGGTGTTGCCTCCTCAATTTACTAATCTTATACTGTTCTACATTGTTGCACAAGTCCAAAGTGAAAGAAATCTTTTTATAAGCCTAATGTCTCAGTGTTAACACGTTTCCATCACATGGCTCATATAGTAAAGACCCTTGCTATCAAAGGCAAGGACATTTTGGGGGAAATCCAAAGAAACTGAGCAGTAAACATTACCGATCGCCGAGATGTGACGACAAAGTGTTAATGGACGCATGGTATAGATCTAGTGCATTCGTGACATATTTCGAACAGCGGGTCTTCGATCGTGTCACTTTTCTCTCTTTTTAAATTTTCCATTTCCTCCCATCTTACTCATAATTTCGAATAACCTGCAAATCTAAATCTAAAAGTCAATTTATTTGCCATTTTAAAAGTCATTTCGATGTTTACGTTTTACGAGAGCATGAGCATGCGGCAGCCCACAACCCTAGATCTGTGTTTATCGATGGCTTGCAAGCCTAGCAGTAAAGTAATACTAGCGAATTTGGTACAATATGGGCGTCTTTTATTCCCGAATACGAATCTACGCAGCGCTTGTGGCTTTAATTCCTACAGAATTAGGGCCAGGTTATTAGCGTGACGTACATGTAACGTCATATATGCAACCAGGAGCAGCAAATTTTGCCAACATCTGTGACGAACATGGTATGGCAGAGCGCTAAAAATTAGGCATTTTCATGACGTACCAGGTACACCATACGGCAACGAAGGGATTATTATTTCAAGAGGCTGATGATTCTTAGCAAGGGTAAATATTCAAGTAATAAGTTGAATTCTTTTGTTTGCAAATTTGAAAACTTGAGCATTTCCCCTAGTGCCATTGTTACAGTTTTCTTAGGAACCTACCTTTTTATCTGCCTGAAAGTCATGCAGATTTTTTCTAGTTATCTGTAGTTTTCACAAAACCCTGATTTTTTTTCTGTTTGTATTAGCTGAACGTAACTGAAAATGGCTTTATGGTAAGGAATGACATTTTAAAAAATTTGACACTGTGGTTCCAGTCTCTGAATAGTGTAAGTTGTTTCATGGAAGAAATGTATTGTAATAGGAAATGTACCCGCTTTTAGGTCCTTAATTTCAATGAAGAGTACTGTACATCAAGTGTTGAGATAAATTATTATTTTTTTTTTACATTGAAAGAATGGGTGGTTGGCAGTAGTGTTGGGCGGTACCGGCAAAACCCTGTGTCGACACTTTCTCGGAACTGGGTCCCGAGAACCGCCAGTACCGGCTCCGGTACCGGTACTGGGAGTGACATCAGGGGGTGACGTCACAGTCCGTGCTGCCGGCATCCCCCCCCCCAAACACACACATACGCGCTTCAGAATTGGAGAGGCGAACTGTGACTCAAAATACCTTTGAAGTTTGCCGCCGCGTGGGATAAGACTGCATGCAAAATTTTTGAAATAATTATCGCCGCTAAAATGGATTTCATTTTCTGAATCAGCGTATCAAAATATGCAAAGTGACTCGCGAGGAACCTGATTTGATGCCATATTTAAATTTAAGCAAACTTCGTTTTTGATTGTCAATTTTGAATCTGAAGTCATGTATCACGGTCACCAGCTGCGTTGTGTGCATCTGACGTCACAGCTGCTAGACCAAGGCCTAGGCCTACACACAGCACACTTCCCGTGGCCCGGTTAAAAAACCGTTGGTGTCGGGCCTATACGTTCTTACTCTCTGAGCGTCTAGGTGTCGGCTCCTTCTCAGAGCCGGTACTGGAGGCCAGGTGCCGGTACTGACACCTCCTTCGGTAGAACCGGGAGTTCCGGTACTAGGTACCAGTACCTGCCCATCCCTAGTTGGCAGCCTGTGCTCTGGTGTGGTTTGCTCTTTCTTTCCTGTCAAACATCTATCTTACTTATTTTTCTTCCTTCCGTCTTTTTCATGTTTGTTACTCTCTTGGAACCCTTTTAATCTTCAGCACTTATATTATGGCCTAATCGTGTTGCAAGTGCTGTAAAAAGGTTACTAAAACAAAGTAGATTGAGAGTGGGTACCACAAACTGAAATTTCAAAGTCCTCTGATTTCATAGTTAACTGCACTACCTTATAGAATTTATTATTCTGAGTATTTTGATACCAAATTTAAACTTATAGCTTCATTTTTAACAAAGTTATGAACATCTGAAGATGCAGAAAAATGCTATATTTTTTTAATTGCGAAATGTTTGCACTTCGAGATGTCACAACATTCTTAAATTTGAATGGACATTCACAAAAACTTGTAGACACACACCTATGCACATAGAGAACAAGCCCAATTTTTTTCAGGGCTATCAAATAACCAGAAGATGGAAATTTATTGACGTAAACATGGCTTTTTGACCAAAACAGCAAAAAGTACAAGGGGAGGTTATAATCACCACTCGCGAACACTGGCTTATCGGCTGTGCGCTGGGCCGCGCTGAAGGGAAGAAGAGAGAATTTATACGAAACCGGGGCGATGGTGCCCTGCTTGCGAGCCGACGGGGAGCGTCCGATATTTATTTGCGTATAATGGCTGTGTTATTCTTGAAGAGGAATGAATGGGCTTTCTACCGATATATTTCCGTTGTCAGTGCGATCACTGGTTCCATAAAAAAAACAGCATCGAAAATTTTCACACGTAAATCTCTTCTATTAATTCTTTAAGGACAGTCTTTAGAAATATATCACCGGAAAGAGCTTCTTCTCATCTTGAAATATGGACGAATCAGATTGCAGTATTTAATACCATACGCTCCCCATTCCTGTTCAACCGAAGTCACTCTAAAAATCAATACACAAAACGCGCAGCCGCTGCGGTGAAAACCTTGATAGTGTTGTCTTTTATCCCGCAAGATTTTGCTTTCAAAAGAATCGTTGATTCAAATAAATAATACCACTAAAAAGAGGAAAAGCTCCTCTTTCTTCTGATATATTAAGTGTCTGTGTGTATGCATGATCACACAGTGTTTTAGGAGAGTAAAAATATGGGTTTTGGTCTCCGTGACAGTGCGCCCAGTTTGTGGTACCTATCGAGAAGTTTTTCAACTCGATTTTCACGGTGAGAATGAACCATTGTTACTTTCAACTCTCAACTATGTTGTGATTAGAAGAAGAAGAAAATTGACTCTTTTATAGGAGCAGACAAAAAAAATTTTTTAATTTTAAAAAAATCATGTTTAAAAATTTTTTAATTAACTAATTTGACTCTTTTGGCCGGGAGCTTGCTGACCAAACCGTTTTTCCGCAGAATAACGTCGTTTCTCGTATGATTTTGTTAAACGATTCCTACTGCTTTTGTCTGCAATAATTTGCGACTTGCGAATGCATTTGAGTCGAGACGAGAAGCTTCACTGCTAGTTTTGTTATTGGTCTGCTTTTTAAAGAGAATTTTGCTTTTTTTTAGTCTGAAGTGTCGATCGAAATGAAGCAAAAACGTGTTTGCTTACAATGACAACAATTGATTGGGGTAAAGGTTCACTCAAGACGAGTCTTGGCTGGTCGATGTTACTGATAAGTTTTTTTTATTATGATTACATTGTCAGCCACACTGACTTAGACTTCAATAGTAATTTCCAACTAGTGAGAACAGCAGTGATGATACCGACAATGGGGATGAACTGACTAGTGCGTGGGCGTTGTACTCTATCTGGGGTAGTAGGTGAATCATCCATTAGTTGTAACCTCCAAAGTCTAGATCTAGTACTACCAATGTCAACAAAGCTGGTACAATTGCTAGTACTAGATTTATGACAAGGATAGAATTAGGAGCTGATTGCAGGTCTAGGTCTACTATCAGTGGAGACTGGGTTGTGGCTTACTAGCATTATATGCATTTCAATTACCGCCAATTATTGAACAAGATCTGTGGTGGAATACCTATGTGTGTGATATTACTACAAAGGTGATTTATATAAACATTTCAGTTTGGTATCAGTCTGTATTTGTGAGCGTGCCTGGTGAAAGGTACCAAGACGCATTTGTTCGAACCGAGATATCAGGCTTCAAAGGTCAAAAATAAAAATTTTGACAAAAACTAAGTTCAGATTCTGAAGCCATTAATATATCGACATTTACAAGGACTTGGGTTTCTTTTACTTTAAAATACATTTTTAAAGATGTTTTTTAATTTTAACCTGGGGTATATTGTAGAATCCCCCAAAACGCGCAAGCAAATCGGTTTTCGAAGTAAACACTGCAGATGGTTTCTCTTGTCCATTCATAAAGTCGACCCAATCACAATGCACACCAAAATTTAGGTCATTCTGTCCCCTCTCTAATGGCGAGTAGTGCGCCTGAATATATAGAACATGTAAACAAAGCGAAGCTTTGCGCAACCACACCCTTTCGTCTTTTTTTAAAGAGAAAACTTGTAAAATTGTATCGCTTATTTTTGCCCTACGCAAACCTAGATTTGATTTCCTGAAAATTCTTGCTCAAAGTGATGGTGAATTTGTTTTGAAGACATAATATAAACACTTTGAAGCTGTTTTTTTATCTTCACTGCTTTTTAAAGTTGGTTTGTGAGTAGTGAATGTGTTGTCAGGTCGTTTCAAAGCGTAGATCTATCTATTTGAAGCAGAAACAAAGGGAAAACTTAAAAGCCGTTTTTCTCAAAACTTTGTTTCCATACCCTGCCTTGCAAAATCACCCATATCTCAAAACCTACTGAAAATATCTTAAAATTTTAAAAAGCATGTTGTTCAGAAATGATCTCTGTGCATGAAAATGCAAAAAAAAACAAAAAAACTAGGGATTCTTCAAAATGCGTCATTTGGTACCTTTCACCAGGCACACACACATTTCGTGGGTAATGATGACAGCAAGCTGTATAAAATTAATCAAAATAGCCAACTTCCATTATTTTTCAGTTATTATCCCCCTTTATTGTGTAACTGCTCTTACATAATAATACAAAGACCCAGGTAACCAATCTAGTGTGATATCTTAAACAATTACCTTTCCAATAGTGTCAAATATAATGTACTTTTATTGAAAAAATATGGCAACAGAATCAGTAGACCAAGGCACCTTATTGTAATAGGCACTCCTGGGAAATTTAATTTTGGCTTTTTTGGAGGGTCAGTGGGAAAAAAAGTTACGAAAAAGAAAAATATCAGGTGTGTATGAGAATCAGTTTATCAGAGTTAATTTTAGGGAACTTAGACATTGAATTTGTTGGGGTTTTTTCTTTTTTCAATGTATTTTTTTCTGCTTTTCCCCAGGAACTTTCGGATATCTGGGCACAAGTATATTTGTGAGAAAAATTTATTCCACTGTGAAGATCGACTAACTTCCTGATCCTCACTATTTCGTTTACAAATGTGAGTTAAAAATAACTCCCCCCCCCAAAAAAAAAATAATGAAAACAAAAAATGTATATTGGTGAACCATGAGGACAGAGAGCTATGGTGCTCAGTTGCTGATTCACTGGACACTTTGGAGCTACCGGCTTTGCTGTGTGATAGTCTACATGGATGATGTACCACTTCATCCTGGTACCAACAAGTATGGATTATCCTCCTCATGCCTGTGGGATTCCTATGGGTTGCACTGTAATATGCAAATTATTTAGCTTACTCTCAAAACTTGTTGCCAAAATGACAAAAAGATTTCACCTCTTTTTCTTTTTTTAAAATCATCCCGTATTGTCCCATGTGGATATGATTAGCAGGTACCAAAACAAACTTGGGATGGGTTCATTTTGGCATTTTGGCATCCAGATAATGGCTTGCAAAATTATGAATTATTTATTTCATTAATCCATGGATTATGGACAGAGTGAAGATAAAATATAGGTACATTGTAAAGTAAAGGAAACACACAAAAACTGGAAGAGTCGTGCCTAGGAGCTTCATGTTCCTGGGTTTTTTGCTGTGCTTACGTTTTAAGGCCCAATAATGTTTGTATTTATGTGCTTTGCGAGTTTGAACGGAAATGGGTAGATTCTGTTTGTATATTTTGAATGCTAAATGTGGCTTACAAGCGTTCTATTTGATAAAATACTTATGGAAGCGAGAAGAGAAGGTTGAGTTGTTCTAAATGTCTTTGGTGAATTATGTGTGATGATTTGCTACGTTTAGCCCAAGTCATGGACAAAGGGTTTTGTTTGTGGACTGTTTCATTTGTATGTTTTTCCCGCTTTTTGTGATATACGCATTGTAAGCAAGTGTGAAAGTGTCCTGTTGGGCTCACAAAGCAGGGTAGTGGTAATTTTAGTTTCAGTGTGCCACACTGTATTTTTGTGTTCATGGGAATTTTCTTTAAAATGGGCAGGGCAGACCAGTTGAGAGAATAATCCCATAGCTGTATAAAAATTCCACTCCTCCCAGTTGTTTTACTACATTTTGGGGTAGAAAATTAAAAATTAATCAAATGTTTTGAATTGGAGAGAAGACCTTCATTAGACAAATATGCTGCCTTCTTTTCTATTTTCTTAGTAGTGGTGTTTGTGGATAATTATTTTGTCAAAAGTGATGATGACACTATAACGGTTTGTAAAATGCATTGTAAATGTCTGCAATGAAAAAGTTTTTCAAACTGTGAATACCCTGTGTGATGGTATCTGTTCTGCCTTGACATACCATAATTAGTGGTTTATCATCCCTTTGCGTGAGCCTGATATATTTTTTTTCTGTAATGCTAATGTATATCTTGTTGCCGAGCATGAGTGGGAGAGACTGTACTAAATGCAAAATGAATTCAATCATATTACTATTAGCTTACTCTGTGATTCTCAATGTGAATTATTTTGCTTTGTTATACCCCTTGCTTCCCGCCTCCTTGTGAACATGTTCTCATCACATCTGTACAAATTTCCATGAGCATATTTGCTTTGACTTTGAGGTAGATAGGATCCCCATCAGTTATGAGTTCATTTCTTTTTTTCCTCCTCCTTTGTTCTCTATGGCTCTAAAGGGGGAATGGTTAGATATGATGTCATACTGGTGTTGGTATGTGTTGTCATCATAAACTTCCACTAATTTTTCATTTTTCTTCAAGCAGTCAATTTGTGTTTCAAAAACTCTTTTTCTGTAGTCCTGTCTTTTTTTTGGGGGGGGGGGGGGTTTAGGCATAGAATCTAGAATTTTTCTTTCCCTTTCATGAATCAATTTTTAAAGTTTCCCTTGTGTTTTTATCTTTTCTTGCACGCTATTATTCTATTGGTAATACATTTTTTTCAAGTGGTTATTTCACCTGATGGGTGCATGACCAAAAAATATTTTGGACGAGGTGACATGCAGTCTACATCTGTCTGCCTTGTGCTCTTGGCAAGGCTACAAGATATACTTTGTGCCCTCGCCTTTTGGGTCGCTCAGCTGTTTTGTAAAACCAGGAACTTTTGTCAAAACATGTGAAAGTAAAATGTTTTGCTCATTCCAGTCATATTGAGTGTTGTTTTGTCATGTGAGGTGCCAATGTTTATCATTGTATTGGAAATGTGATTAGGAAAAGTGAGGCAGTTTTGTCCATGTTAATTTTTGGTAAACGGTGTTACACCTAGTTAAGGGGATCAAGTTGAGTCTTGCAAAAACAAAAACAGCCTTGAAATCTCGTCACATTTTATACATGGGAAATGGTGGGCTCCTTTCTTGTGTATGTTGTGTTGAAGGCATTTGTATATTTTAAAGTAACACCACTGTTTGTGTTTTTGAATAGTTGCCCTTCATCTCTTTTAAGTGACATGTGTTGAACATGATCTGTAACGCACATATGTGTATGTATGATGTGAGAGACCCATGAGTTGTGGGTTGTGTGCTGCATATTCGATCATGAGTATGACCAGAGTGTGTGTTCTTCATTCCATGCTCAATCTCAGCATGGGCTCAGCTGTGAGTGGTTTTCAATCAATACATGTATGTTTCATGTTTCCCACTGTACATGATGTATATATAAAAACAATTGAGGGTTGAACATTTTACTGCTATTATTATGTTACTTATTTTCCTTGGATTCAGTATCAGGAGAGTAGTGTCAGACAAATGGATATGGTGTTTCATTTTTCATTAAATTTTTTTTCCGCTCCCATGCAACATACAATTTGTTATGTTCAGTCTTTTCTATAATTATATAGTATGGATACGTATACATGTGCATGGTCCCTATTTTATTTGACAGTGAATGGGAAAACTGAAATAATTGAACAATGTGTCCTGTGAATGCTAGGACGGAATTAAACTAGCTGTCATGAGATGATAACCATCCCATGAAGAACATGAAGTTAAAGCTGTTTACATGTTTATCTGATCCTTTCCTGAGTATTTTACAGGAAATAAGATGAGGAAATTTGGGTCACGTGAGTACCAAAGTAGGTTGCTGTGACTAAATGTTACATTTTAAATTCTCATGCATAGTTAAATGCGAAATGGAATGCCGAAAAAATTGAGAAAAGACTGAATGGTGATGCATCTGGGAGTCGTTTCAGTGATGAATCTTGTTTTTAAAAAAATATTGTGCAGAGGGAACTGAGGTTCATTATTTTTCCATTCAGTGTTCACAATTGAGAAAACATACTTGCCTTGGAATTCCTCAGTCATACTACAGTGTGTTTTCTTTAAAAAAAAGAGTAGCAGGTGACTTTCATTTTTTTTATTTCTTAGTTAGCTAGAAAACTTTCTTTTATATGTTTGTTCAATGTATTTGGTTTTGTAAAACTTATCAAGAGGGCAGGTATGGGTATACATATAAATGCTTATAAAAGAGAGAAAACATTTTTTCAGTACAATTGTAGATACTTATGTGTAAGACGTCTCTTTGCTTTTTTACTTTGACGAATGTGCAGAAAAGAAATAAAAGTGCCATTGCTGCACTTTATTAAAGGATATAAAAGAATAACAGACAGTCGTCTGCTACCTTGTGAACTCCACTGCAGGGTAATGTCATTTTACTTGAATGTTGGTTGGGGATCATGTGTGCAGCTGTGGCCAGATTGGCAGGAAATGGACAGTTTGTGCCTAGCAGTAGGTGCCTTTTCTACTTGATGGAGATATGTGCTTGAAGTCTTGGACCACTAAGCTCATTTTTGCTGTGTGTTGTTCGATTCTGTCAGAACTGATGTCAAATCTATGATGTAGTGAAACAGGCATGACAATATCCTTTTGTGACTTCTAGATCTGGATTAAGTTTACTCCGTTGCCTTCTCCATCTGTGTATACAAGTTACCCAAACTTGAGAGGGACAATTTTTTCCATCTATGCGCATATGAGACTATTGGTCCAGTTGTTTCTAAATAACAGCTGAGAAAAGAAATCGATGTGGTTTTTGCTCCACGTATTCCTTGGGGAAAGATAACAAGAATGACTGCTGGAGTGTTAGTTCTTTTTTTTTATAGATTTTGATTGAAAGACTATGGTATCATTTACAATAAATTATTGTTGACATAATTACATTGTTATGGCTTCATTTATGTAGCGGTTCATGTTTTTTAAAATTTACTTATTGCTCAGACAAGCTCACTGCTGGCTGACTTTGACTTGGTACAGCACTGGACTTAACAAGTTCAGGGGAACCATAGTTTTATTCTGAGTGTCAATTTGCTCTGGAGTTTTTGTGACTAGCTGCTCTGTCTTGTGGAAGGGGGTTGTTAATTTGGAGTCCTGACCTTCTATGTAACCACCGTTGTGTCAAAAGAAGTGTAAAACTCAATACAGTGCATAGTGAGGTTTGTCATGAACTTTGGGTAAAAAAGGCACAAACTTCCTATTTTTTATTAAATCCAGGGTGAAGTGTTGAGATGATTACTCCTGTGGCTTGCTGAAGCACCAAAAAGGCCTACCTTGATAAATTTGCAAGCCCCAAATAGAATTGAAAAAAACCTGCAAAGTAATGCTGGGCGGCGAGTTTCCCGGTTATTGAAAGCTTGGAATCGTAGGACTCGACTCCAAACCCAATTACTTACTTTCCAAAGATTACCTTGTTGCACCGAACATCTTTAGGATTTAGGACATCCTTGATTTGGGAACACTACGAAGCATCAATTTTTATTTTTCAAAAATAAATTCTTGAAATAAAAGAAGATTTTATTGATTAAAGAAACTGGACACGGCAGGTTTACGTAAAAAGGAGTCGGAACTTTTCTTTCGTAGCATTAGTCTTGGGAATCGGACAAGATTCTTTGCTCAGCTCTACTGCAAAGCTCTGGCTGCTTTTCTTTTTTTAAGCACTAAGTGCCACACCAGGGTGTTGCATACAGATTGTATGTATGTGACTTCCTTTCTTACCAACATTTATTAAATAGAGTCTGCTTAAACTGAACACGGGCTATCCAAAAACAGTGGTCGACTGACCAAAAATAAAATCCCTGGTTTTTTGTTGTTGGTGTTCTTTGTTTGATTTTTTAAAAATCTGAGCAACCTCTCCAGACTAAAAGCCCAGCTAATAGAGAGAAGTTTGGCAGTCCTGCAGATGTCATTTTTAATTTAACCGGACTCCACTGTAGCTCCTATTATGATCTAATGTTCAGTTAAAGATAAATCCGTTGCGTGACTTTCCTCTTGAACAAGAAGTTTGCCTGCTCTCTTGTATTTATTATATTCCTAGCCTTTGACTATAGCTTGTTCACTTTCGTCTGATCTCATTAGAAAAATTCTAGCTCATTGAGGAATTCACCTATGCCCATGAAACTTTGCATGGCACTTCTGCAGGCCAGCGACCAAACAAAAATATATTTTTTCAAAAAATCTTGACCCAGTAATAAAGTTTTTCTCTATGGGCCCTTTATTAAAAAACTCTCTTTGGATGCATAGACAGGACCACTAAAATAAATGACTTGCAGTAGCCTTGCCTACAAATTGCTTATTCTGAGACATTGACACCACCCTGCCCCCTCATTGCAGTGTAAGCTTGTAGATTTCATCCAAAGAAAACTGTTGGAACCTTAATTTGCCATGACTTTTATGAATGGGCTTTTAGATTCTGTTGGTGCTTAACTTTTAGACGCGCATACAAAGACCCAGAAAGATTAAACAGCGATTTGTTTTTAGCCCATTTTAATCACGGTCAGACGAAAGTGAACGATCTATAGTATTAAGGTTTGGTAAGTAAATTCAGCAACAGACAAAAAGATTATTATAATAAACAAAAAAAAAAACACTTTGCAACTCTGGAGAAGAGTAATATCGTGTTTATGAAGCACCAGAAGTAAAATATATACAATACATTCTTGTCTTAGGGCCTGTCAGAGTGAGACACGTCATATACACCACGTCATCCCATGCATTTGTTTGTTCGTGGATTTAGAGGAAACACCGATCTTTATTTAAGAGGCATTATATTTAAATTAAATTTATATTATACATGCATTATTATGTCAGTTTTCTGCTTTGAGAGACAGTGCGATAAGTGCAAATATAATATCGGGTGTATAGATTAAACACAGTAGTACTTTGTCACTTCTGAGAAATTGATGCTTCACATCCGTTCCTGTTGACTTCGCAGACGCCTCCCCTTTCTGTGCGTGGAAAAGGGGGGCTACTGTTGCAGAACCCACATACATGTGTTTGTACAATTGCAGGATTTACTGGTCTCTAAGTCGGTCGTGTGCAATATGGGTAACGTAGGCCTAATATTAAGAGACTCTGATTTGATTATTATACATGATCTTGTTAGGATGGTGATAATAATAGGCGATAGATAACAGTTCAGTACAGTCTTGCTGGGGGGAAGACTTTTCATTTACCAGAGTTCAACATGAAAACTGCATATTTGCTTTCAATATAATCAGTAACATTTCATCAATTGTTGAACCCCGTAGGCGTTGCTCCTTTTTGTTTTCACTGGCTCAGCAGATCCACTGTGTGGTCCGTGTCATCTGCAATGCGATAGGTGGCGCTGAAGCCTCCAGATTTGATCGTATCGTCAGAGCGGAAGCGAACGAGAAGACTGCGTGTACTGGAGACGATAGGGCTTGGGACCTGGAATAACACAAGATATGCACAGATCAGAAGTCTATTCCTTTGTAGACTATGTAGAATGCCCCCCCCCCCCCTGAAAAGAATTAACCATGTATGAAAGATTTAATTTAGAACTTAATTAAGAAGGAAATTATAACCACGTAGACGAAATCATCTCTCAAGATCATAGACATGTAATTTAAAGGCCAATGGGAGTTGGGGAGGGGGGGAGGGGAACGCAAGATACACTTTTTTTTAAAAAAAGGAGACTACACCTGAAGGTTTTTCACACATATAACAAACTCAGTGAAGAGTCTTCAAATCTACAGTCATATTTGGGGGAAACGTTCCGTTGCCATGGAGACGGCGGCCATGATTGGTTAACCTGTCTGTCTTATAAGTTGATACCTCAATTATATCCTATGGAAATACAAGGTGATCCAAAAAAAACTTTACAACTTGTTTTGTAAATATCTTCCTCCATACTGAAGTTTTGCGTTTCAGATTTGAACATAACGTTTGGAAGCCAAAAGGAATTTTTCTGATTGTATTTTTGATAAGTCCATTGAATGGTTTTGCTCAAAATAGCGCATTAATAAAACAACCCATTTTCAACCATGTCGCCATTTCCATAGCATGACGCACCAGTTGGCGTTAGGCCTACCACTAAAAGTTGCAACAATCGCGCCTTATTGCAAGCTACAGCAGTCGAACAAGTCAACAGAAGTCTGCAGATATTATTTTTCCCAAATTGTGTTTGCCTGCTGAGATCATGGCTACGTTTAGTATAGAGCAGAGAACTTTTTGTATTGAACATTACCTCTCCACAAACTCACCATCCCTGACATTTCATAAGTTCTGCGCACGGCATGGAGAGAATGTTTAGGTGTCCTCAAGACCTTTGGCGTCATGAGTAGAGAAGTTCCGTCGGTTTGGGTCTATTGCGAATCAGAACTAAAAAGGTCTTTAAAAATGACCACTTCAGTCAGGTCGAACACGCACCATGCGCAGCCCTTTAAACGCCACCAGAGTGCAGATTTCAGTAGCCGAGTCCCATGAGACGTCTGTGTGTAGACGATCTACAGCTAGGACTTTCCTACACATCAACGGTCTGCATTCTCATGGCAGATCTTAACCTACGACTATACCATGTTCATCTTTGCTTGGCCGAGATGACATGGATCAGAGCATGGCAATGTGTTCATGATTCCTCAATTGTCTTGTAAAGAGGGATCATTTCCTCGATGACACGTTAAAAATGTGTCGAGTCCAAAGGAGGGAATGTGGAGCACTGCTTCTAGGAATTCCAGAATGAAATCTTTAGGTTTTAAACACTCGGTAAAAGAAATTAAATACAGTTTAAATGTCCTAGGGATGGAAAATTAACGTCAAAGAGAAAATAAAGAAAAATATCAACTAATCTTTTCACGACTTCCTTTACAAGATTTTTAAACATTGGTGAACTTTGCGTTTTTGGGTGCTTTTTTCTTTTAGCCGTTTCCGTTTTCAAAACATGATTCTTCTTCGTGGATTTTATATCGAACAAAATTCCTTTTGAATGAATTATGTCTGTTCCAAATTACAGCATTCTAGAACACTTTTTGGGCGGGATATTCTGAAAAAAAAAGTTGATAAATTTTTTTTGTGCATGTTCTTGTTGTGCGTGTATGTTGGAAAACTATAGTTCTGCAAAACGGTCTGTTGAATCTTTCCCGAATTCGAAATTTGTTAATGATTTTTTTTTCTTTAGGTAGTATTCAAGGTTGCAAAAAATAAGATGATGGGGGCAAGGGAGGTGAGGGGATGAGGGCAGAAAATGAAGAGGAAAGCAGACGACAGAACAGAGAGCACGAAAGTAGAACATTTTGGAGAAGGAAATTTTCCGTCGCTGTCCTGATTCGAACCAGGGACCTATTGAGAAAGAGGCGAACACCATAACCTCTCGACCACGAGAGCCCCCTCCAGTTCCTGGGATATGTCGGTGCCTTAGAAGTTGGGAGTACCCCCTCCCCCCCTTTTTTCCTCAATGAAAATAATTTTTTAAAAGAAAAAAATCGTCTTTTCTGAAGATAAGGGTAGGAAATCGGATCTTCTTCTTCTTCTCGATCCCATCACACTTGAAGTCTGGTATCTGTAATAAATTGGGCCGTCCTGCTCAGCTTATCTGTCGGCCCGTATAGCTTCTCTTGTAGCGTCAGTGAGGTTGGCCACGTTTCCTGTCTCAGAGCCCTGTGTGTCTTGCAGTGCTGAAGGATGTGTTCAACAGTTTGGTCCGCCTCTCCACACTGGCATTTTTGTGATTGTACTAGTTTAAAACATCTGTATATATGTTGTCTCAGTCTTGTGTGTTGTGTTCTTAGTCGGAAGATAATCACTTGTTCTTGGCGGGACAGCTCATGGTATCTTTGTTCAAACATGGACAGGGTGAGGGATTTCTTGCTCAGGTCGCTGTGGTCATCTTTTGAGGTGAACATAGGAATGGCGGGTGTATAATTATGTTTGTGTTTTTCTTTTCCCATGGTGGTGCCTCTGGGGTATGGTTCAGAATGTTCACTGTGACTGGTAGATGGTCCTGTAGGGATCTTCGCATTTTTCTGCTTTCTTTGATGAAGTTGGATCTTTTAAGTCGCGTGGCGTTTCATCTGGATGTTCTTGTGTGAAGTATATGATCCCCCATAGCTGTGGCCTTGGTGTACTGTATGAGAGCCTTGCATTCCCATCTCCTCTGCAGGGCCACTATAGATGTTGTTAGTTCCATCTTTTCTATAGGCGTTGACCTCATTGCTCCAGTGATTATTCGGAGAGCTTTTTCCAGAGTGTATTTGTGAGTCTGTGCTGCAGTCATCCATGCACTGGATCCGTACTCGAGATGGGGCCTAATTGCTCCTAGATAGACCTGTCTAAGTGTTTCCTCATTTGCTCCCCACTGAGTCCCTGCTAGTTTTCTCATTTTAAGTTTCTTCCTGGCTTTATTTTCTGCATTTTGAACGTGTTGTGTCCATGTGAGACGCTTGTCAAAGATTATTCCAAGATACTTCGGTTGATTCTCAAACTTTCCGGCGGTTTTGTCTAATGTGAAGTGTTTTGGCTCAGCCTGGCTGAGCGTGAAGAGTGTAGCAGAAGACTTTTCTTTGTTTACGGTTACACACCAGGTTTTTGTCCAAGCAGTGAGTTTGTCCAATGCTAGCTGCATGCGATATGTGGCAGTAGTGACGAATTCCTCAGAGCACCAAAGAACCAGGTCGTCTGCCTACAATGCGGTATGTATTCCTTTGGGCAGTTAATTCATTAGGTCATTGGTGAAGAGGATAAAGAGCAAAGGTGACATGACTCCACCTTGGGGTACTCCTTGTCGCAGCAGCATTTTCCGTCCTTGATATCCATCCGCCAACACACGTGCTCTTCTGTTGTGTAGATAGGATTTAGTCCATTGGTACATGTTGCCTTGGATACCACTTCTAAGGAGCTTGACTAGTAGACCCTCCTTCCACACCTTGTCAAACGTTTTTTGTAGATCAATAAATGTTGCTAGCATCACTTTCTGTGCCTGGAAGGAGTCCTCTATAACTTGGGACAAGTAAGTTGTCAGGTACTCTGTGCTCCTGAACTGACGGAATCCAGCTTGTTTTGGTACTAAGATGTGCTGTGCCTCTAGGTACCACTGCATTCTGCAAGCTATGATATGCTCCATTGCCTTACATACACAGCTTGTGAGGCAGATAAGTCTATAGCTTAATGGTTGTGCCTTACTTTTCCCTGGCTTGAGGATCGGGATCATCGTTGCGGAAATCGGATGTCTCGTTTGCATGTTGCTACAATCAGGGAGAATGATTCTGTGGTCTATAAATAATTCGTGTTGTTATGTTTGAAGTGTGGAGGTGAATCACGTAATAGTGATACTAGAGTAGGTGTAAAGGCATGATGGTGTAATTTACTTTCTTTTTTTCTTCTTGTTTTGTAAGTGTTTTACGGTGCTCGCAACTGCATAAGGTCATATGAGCGCGCGGGACACATTAAACATTTTCACTTGGTAGGAAAATTTGAATTTTGCCCGGGTGGAAGCCGAAGCTTACTCTTATCGATTTTAGACCACCAAGGGATCTTTAACGTGCGCAACTTGCATTCGGGACTTCCGAGATTGTTCGCCCTTGTCCGAGAGGGCAAGTTGTAGATCTTTCCTACCAGAACATCAAGGGTGTGGCTGAAAGACAGCAGGAAGAAGGAACCATGGAGGAGCAGTAGACAGGCTGTAGAAAGAATCAGGCGCCCAGAGGAGGGGGAAAAGGGGGTGGGGGCAGAAAATGGAGACGAAAACGGACGATAGAACATTGTTGGAGAGCAGGAATGGAGGTGAAAGAAATTTTAGAGATGAAAATGTTTCGGTCGCCACCCGGATTCGAACCCGGGACCTTTGAATGAGAGGCCAACACCTTAACCTCTAGGCCACGAGAACCCCCAATTTACTTTCCATCTGGCACAAATATAATGCAAGTGTAAGCGTAATAAGTTAAATACGTCTCTCTCTCTCTCTCTCTCTCTCTCTCTCTCTCTCT